GGAACAAGAACAGACATACAGACCATGGAATCGAATAGAAAATCCAGAAATAAACCCACAGATTTATGGTCAACTAATCTTTGACAAAGGAGCAAAGACTATGCATTGGAGCAAAGAAAGTTTGTTCAATAAATGGTGCTGGGAAAACTGGGTCGCTACATGCAAAAGAATGAAGCTTGACCACTACCTCACACCATACACAAAAATCAACTCAAAATGGATTAAAGAACTAGACATAAGACCTGAAACCATAAAATACATAGAAGGAAATATAGGCGAAACACTACGGGATTTGCACATCAAAGACATCTTTACAGACACATCACCCAAAGCAGTGATAGTGAAGAGAAAGATAAACAGCTGGGACTACATCAAATTAAAGAGCTTCTGCACAGCAAAAGAGACAATAACAAAAACAAAGAGAAACCCCACCAACTGGGAGAACATTTTTGCACCCAACACTAATGATAAAGGACTGATCACAAAAATCTGCAAAGAGCTGATGAGACTCAGCAACAATAAAGAAAATAATCCAGTCAAAAAATGGGCAGAAGAGCTAAAAAGAAACTTCTCTGAAGAGGAAATGCAAATGGCCAACAGACATATGAAAAAATGTTCAACATCACTTGCAATCAGGGAAATGCAAATCAAAACTACCATGAGATACCATCTCACACCAGTGAGAATGGCACATATTAAAAAACTAGCAACAACAAATGTTGGCGAGGATGTGGAGAAAAAGGAACTCTTCTGCACTGTTGGTGGGAGTGCAAACTGGTCCAACCACTATGGAGAGCTGTGTGGAGATTTCTGGACCTACTAAACATAGAGCTTCCATATGATCCAGCAATTCCACTCCTAGGTATTTACCCAAAGGACACAGAAACATCAATTCCAAAGAGCACCTGCACTCCTATGTTTATAGCAGCACTGTTTACAATAGCTAAGCTTTGGAAACAACCCAAATGCCCAAAAGTAGATGACTGGATCAAGAAGATGTGGTACATATATACCATGGAATATTACTCAGCATTCAAAAAAGATAAACACATGCAATTTGCAGCAACATGGATGGCGCTGGAAGGGATCATGCTCAGCGAAATAAGCCAAAAAGAAAAAGAAAAATACCGGATGGTCTCACTCATAGCAGGAATCTAGAAAACTTAAATAAGGGACCAGGAAAATGAATATAAGAAAGTGAAAATCAAAATCAACAAAAAACTATGAACCAGAGACACTTTTTGGGGGTGGGGGGCGGGAGGGGAAGGATTGGGGTCAGAATGGGGCGTTTGCAATTGTATGGGGGAATATAAAAATAAAATTTAATATTTAAAAAAAAAAAAAAAAAAAAAAAAAAAGAAAAGCAGCATAGCTGTTATAGACTCACAACTATAAACCTATGTTTTCTTCTAAGACATGATATTTTATTCACTTTTTAAATTGTTTTGCAAAATCCTTTCAGCCTGACATTCTAAATCCTGGCTGTCCCCCAAAGATTTGTTTTTAGAAAGCTTGACAAAATGGAACTATTTTAATTCTTGTCCATTTTCCATCTTGAGCTGTGCATGAGCAGACTCAAGATGGTCATCACTCAGGTACAACAAGCTGATTAATCATAACCTCTCCTTCCTTCTCCCGCCACCTCCCATCACCCCTCACTTTTCTGAGAGGCAGGTCTGTACATGCTGGTGCCTATACTGGACTAGCTCCGGTGTCTAACAGCTGGGCCTCTGGAACGTGGCTTCCCCTTCTTGGCCCCAACAAGCTTCTCTCATCCTTAGATGAAAACCTACCACATGAGCAATCAGAGTCTCCGCCCTCAACTGTGAAGTACAATACATTATTCAGCAGATCTTTTATACACCTCTTATTTTCAGGGACGAATAAGATTTAATACCAGATAGCACTCTTCTGCAAACTACACCCTGGCCTAGAAACACACTCTGCTTAGTGACCTTCAGATAGCCACTTCCTGTGGTGACCTCTTCTGGAACCTCAATCAGGACAGGAAATATAACTTTTCTGGACCTTCAAAACAGTGGTGTCAACCTATGAACACTCAATAAAATATAGTTAAGGCAGAGAATACTTAGTCCCAGGCCTTGCACATTTGTTCTCCCATGCTTTCCAGGCCAAGGCCTCACCTACAACCATGCTCTGCCAGACCCCCAGTCAGGCCAAGAAGCATCCTAGCTTGAACTCCCTCTTTGTATTTATTGGAGCTGGCATTACCAGAGCAATGCTACACATCATGAGCCTGGCTTTGTTCAATCCAGGTGTCAGTTGGGACAGAAAGAATAATCAGAACCCTGAAGAAAAACTGGTTCCCAACAATCAATACAAGTTCTACTCGGTGAGTGCAGATGACAGCAAAATGAAGAAAGGTGTCCATTGACAGTAAAATGCAGACTTCCAAATGAAATATTTTCCCATAAAGCTGCTTAAAATGAAGATCTTACGAAAGGCATCTGCACAATTTTCCAGTTACCCAGGAAATAGTTTCCCTCTAAATGCACGAAATCATGTTGGTGTGTTGTGGCAAGGGTTACATTGATAAATAAATATGTGAAATTTGGTGAAAAAGTACCAGTTGGAAAATGAGGGTTGGCCCATTCCTAGGCAAATCTGGGAGAGAAGAGACAGTTGAAAATTCTTTGGATCAGCTTCATCTTGCATCTGCTCTCCCCATAATTGAAACAGTTGTTGCCAAAGTTGGATGTGCCAGGTGATCCAGTGAGGAGTGAGAAGGGAAGATAACATTTTCATTTATGTTTATTCTACTTAAAAATGAAGAAATTCTGTTTTACAGATTTACAGATTGCTTTTAGGGGCCTCCATCCAGACCACAAGTCAGCTGGACAAAGTGACCAGTGGTCCTGAGTGTCTGTCGAAGAGGAGAGTTCCAGCAGGCTATCATCTGACCATGACACATGAGTTACTGGCATGTGCCTGGCTGAATAGACATGTGGATTCTAGTCTCCTAAATAACAGAATAGCTCCACCTTGTACTGAAATAGGGAGTGACAGTGAAATTCTTTTGACTACCCAGGTTCCCTAGTTATGTCATGGTAAAGTACTTAAAAGACCTTTTAAATTTAAAGAAGAATTACACTTTTTCACAAAAATTCCAAATTTGTTAACCCCTTCTAAGATGAAAAATGGCCATCAGTAATGTATTACCTAATAGCTATTGGCAAAATAATGCAGGTATTTATGTCCCATCAAAGTAAAGGTGTTGTTTAACAATGTGTAGAAAAATAAATGCAGTTCTAAATATATGCTTAGAAAGGAATATTTTTGGAAAATAGGTGTTTAGAAGTGTTTCATTTTTTTTTTTTTTTTGCTAAATAAAGAATTGTGTTACTCTGAAAGCTGTCATATTTGCACATTTTAAAAACATGGAAACATTTTCTAATAATTTAATATTTTCAAAATAAGACATACAGCAAGTTTTGAATCATTTGTTTAAAACATTAAAAAGCAACACCTCCCTACCAGGAAGTACTGAGTGCCACTTGCAAAGGGAACATCTATTGGCCAAGTTTCGACTTCTTAGAAATGTTAACATAATTGAAGGATAGGTGGAAATATAAGTACTGTGATTTAGTGAACTCAGCACAAGACCTGTACAATCACACAGAGTTCCATTTTCATTAAGGCCCCTCACTTAATTTCAAGCTTTGCAATCACCATTGTGAAAATCTTAATAATTTTTAACAAGGAGATACACATTTTCACTTTGTACTGGACTCTGTAAATTATGAAGCTGGTTCTGGAACTCAGTTGTCAATGCATTTCTTCCATTTGAATCTACATACTTTTGATGTACTTTTTCAAATATGAAAACCGCTAAATTCAAGTATTAACAGAAAACCAATTTTGAATTGTATCAAAAGTGCTAAACTAAATTATATGTATATAATTTATAAATAAATAAGCACATCTTAGCACTGAATGTTCAACAACTTGTCATTTATGGAGGTACATAGTCAAAAAAAGTTCCTAAAACACTGATGGAGATTCTCAATGATAATCTTTGCCTTTTGGAGTCCAAGTTCCAAATATACTCCTTCTTCCATCAACACTTTCCTAATGTTCAGCTGTACTCCCTAAGAGAGGGAGGGAGGCTTAGTATAAAGGGGATTTGACATCAGAATTGGGTTCATAGCTGCCCTACTCCAAGAGGTAAGCATATTTCTTAACCTGCTGACCTCATCCAGTTCCCAGCATTGCTGTGAGGATCCTGTATAAGGGCCTGGAACACTTCCAAATGCTGATGAAGCACCAGTGACACTATCATTTACTTCAGGTGTTGTTGGTAAGAGTCTCTGCTAGGTTCTGAGCACCCTGTCTTTGATCACGTCAAGTTTCACGGACCCAAAGACTGGATGGTGACACTGTAGGCAGTCTAGTGAAGTGCATCTTTTTGGTGATATCACAGTGAAGTGCATCTTTGCATCTTTTCGGTGACATCACAGTGATACTCTTGAAACAACCAAAAAGTTCTCTCCTACGAGAACCAGGGAAGTTAACAGCTACCAAGTTTTCTCCTCCGAGTAAGGTGGAGAGATGGAAGGGCCTCCAAGCAGACACTGGTGAAGTCTGGCGGGGACTCAAGGCCTGGTCCGGCGCTACCTGGGTGGTGCAGGCTGAACCCCACCCGAGTTCTACGCATTCCTGGAGCGCAGCTTCCGACTTTCTTCCCTACTCGCCCAAACCTGACCTCAGCCTCCGCTCACCTGTGGTGTTTTACCCATCTGCGCCTTCGGCGGCGCACTGGCAAGGCTGATGCTCGCACGGGATCGAGCCTGGGTCGTTGCGCCCAACGCCCGGGGCAGCGCGCCTGTGCGCGGGTGGGGAATTTCTCCAGGTCGCCCGCGGTGATTAGCGCGCTCTGGGAATGGGTCAAGCCTTTCGCCCCGTCGCTGACCCGCGCGAATCAAGCTCACCCCCGTGGCGCCCAGCACGTCCCTCTCTCGTGTTCTCTCCGAGGACCTTACCTGAATAGCGTGGCCACGGCCCGGGGCGATGGGCCCCCCACCAACTTGCAGTAGAGCTCGGGTCGGGGCCGCGCGCCGTCGGGCGCCCGCTCCCCGCAGGTGGCGGTGGCCCAAATCCTCGCGGCCTCCGCCAAGTTGAAGTAAGGAGGGAGCAGGCTGAGCCGGGTCGCGGAGCGGGTGTTCCGAGCGGCTGCGAACTCGGCAGGGAGCGGCAGCATTAGTAGCAACAGCAGCAGCAGCAGCACTGGCCCAGGTGCCAAGCCCGGAGCCCGCGCGGCCGCCGCCATCCTGCCGCGCACCGCCCTCCCGCCCAGCTGCTCGCGGCACCGCTCGTGGGGCGCGCCGGGCTCGGTGGCAAGAGCCTGGTTCCACAGACGAGCGCAGCCCGGAGTGTGGGCGGCGGCGGATCCGCGCCCCCGCCCCACGTGCGGGGAGCCGGAGGCGTGAGGCGGCTCCTGGTCTGGAACCTGACGCGGCTGGGGCTGGAACGGGCACCCGCCGGATCAGGAACTGACAGCACCAGCCTCGGGCCAGCAGACGTCGACTCCTGCAATTGCGCTGCGCACTAGGAACTTCGCGGGCGGGGACGGCAAAAGGCGTTCCCAAGTTCCCACCCTGGAGGCTAAACCTGGGGGCCCGGAGAGCCCCACCTGCCCATCGCCAGGGCAGACAGCAGATTATTTCTCCTCTCCAGATAGTCACTCTCTCGGACAAGTCAGAAAATGCCACTTCGGACCTCCAACAGGGGTGAGAGTTAGCAGAAGACAGGGGATACTGCCACTGCCTGTCGAGCTTACATCAAAGACGTTGTGCTTTCCCAGACAAGTCCCACGTGTCAAAAGACAATCCCCACCCCTTCTCTAACCCCGAGCGCCAACGATATCCGCGGCACTGCATTTGATTCTGATGAGGTTAGAATCAAAAGGAGCTCTCCGGGAACTGGGAGTGGCAGAAGGAAGATATTCAAAAGACAGCCAAGGAGTGCAAGTTGTAGTTTGCCAAACTGGAAAGGTACCTTGGCTGAAATCCTTCAGATGCATAATCTGCTACGTTTTATGATAAACTGAAAGATGTGGAGTGAATGGCTGAGTCTGTTAGTGTACCCAGAGCTCCCACGCAGGCCAGACCTGGGCCTTGGTCTTGTAAGCAGGACCTCTCACCAAAACACCCCCCACTCGAGGTTGTCAGTGCTACTGTCCAGGATGGACAAAAATGCTCCTGAGGAAGTAAAACTGGAAGAGTTTTGAAGAATGGAGGAGGAGAAAAGAGGGACAGTAAGTGCTGTAAGAGCATTACTTCAACAAAAATTGAGACACAGGCATAAAAATGGTACAGATGAAAGGAGAGAGAACTCATCTGTATATTTAGTAAATACATGTTGCAGGAGGGGTATGTTAAGGTGGAAAGAAGTGTTCATCTTCTGTCTGTTCTTCAAAAATAAAAAGGGAGGGAAAATAATTTGTGAGCATAAAAAGGAGAATCCATAAAGACTGCTCTATTAAATAGATTCCACGTGCCCCCTCAGCACACCTAGGCACTGTCTCTGCTGTCTGACACCCCAGGCATCTAGCACAGTGGCATTGCCAAGATGTTGTTTCCCAACAAAGCTGTCTCTGCACAGGCTGAGCACAAAGGAAAGCAGGTCTTCATGAAAGTGGACTTCAGTGTTTCTGTGCAGAACAACCAGAAGATTGAAGCTGCCAGCCCCAGACACCAAATTCTGCTTGGACAATGGATCCATGTCAGTTGCTGTTATGAGCCACCACTCAGGGGTGATGACATGGGGTGTTGGGGGGCGGGCCTGCTGGTGTCTCCATGCCTAAAAAGTACTCCTTACAGCAAGTTGCTGTAGAACTCAAATCTTTGCTAGGCGAGGTTGTTTTGTTCTGTGTGGGCCCAGAAGTGGAGAAAAGTGTGCTGACCCTACTGCTGTGTCTGTCATCCTGCTGGAGAAACTCTGCTTTTATGTGGAGGAAGTAGGGAAGGGAAAAGATGCTTCTGGGAACAAGGTTAAAGCTGCACCAGCTGAAATAGAACCCTTCCGAGCATCACTTTCCAAGGTAGGGGATGTCTATATCAATGATGCTTTTGGCACCATTCACCGACCCCACAGCCCACTTATTGGTGGGAGTCAAGCTGCCACAGGAGACTGGAGGTTTTTTGATGAAGAAGGAGCTGAACTATTTTGCCAAGGTCTTTAAGGGCCCAGAAAAACCCTCTCTGGCCATCCTAGGCAGAGCTAAACTTGCAGACAAGATTCAGCTGACTAATAAGATGCTAAACAAAGTCTCAACAACATGGAGTTTGGCACCTCTCTGATGAAAAGGGAACCAAGATTGGCAAAGACTTGATGTCCAAAACTTGGAAGAATGGTGTGTGAAGATTGCCTTTCCTGCTTTACTTTGTCCTTGCTGATAAATTTGATAAGAATGCCAAGACAATGGCCAAGCCATAGTGGCCTCTGACATAACTGCTGGTTGGGTGGGCTTGCAGTGTGGTCCTGAGAATACCAAGAACTGTATTGACCCTATTGTTCCGTCTAAGCAGATTGTGTGAAATGGACCTGTGGCTATATTTGAATGGGAAGCTTTTGCCCAAGGCCAAAGCCAGAGAGGCTGCATCTCCATTGTTGTTTGGGGAGACACTGCTACTTGCTGTGCTAAATGGAATACAAAGGATAAAGTCAGCCTGTGAGCTCTGAGGGCAGAGCCAGTTTAGAACTCCTCAAAGGTAAAATCCTTACCTGGGGTAAAGCCTCTCAGCAGTGGTTGGTACTTCCTGCCTTTTGGTTCCTGTGCATAGCCCCTAAGTCACTTCTGCATGTCCACAAGGCATTAGGTAAAGTCATCCCCCAGTTTTCACAAGATTCGGGTAGTGACCAAGAGATGCTTCACCAGGAACACTTAAACTGTGATGTAGTGTCTCAGCTCATCTTTACTATGCCCTGGATTTACCCACACTTTTCAAGATCCCATTTGAATGTCTTAGTGACTAAGCCATTATGTATACTAGAGGGCATGTATTTTTATTTTGCCTGTTAGAAGAAAGTGAGCTGGGTTAGCTTAGTTCTTGTTTTGAAGTATCAATAGTTATTCTGATTAGCTTTGTCATTGTTTCACAAGCAGATGAAATTCCAGTTATAGGGAGAGAGGAATATGAAATTGGTGGGCTAGTAAATAACAACTATCCATTGAAACCAAAAAAAAAAAAACTGCACACACAAAAACTATAATAAAAGTTTGTACATCAAAAAACACTATAACAAAACAAAAATGGAACGCTAATGAGGAAGGAGAAAGTTTATACCATAAATGATACGGGATTAATGATTTTAATGTATGAACTGCTTTTACAAAGCAATTAGGAAAAGTTGAACACTTAAGGCTAAAATATCTAGTACAGTGCATAGAAAACAAAATTTTCCCATGTTGCTGCAAAGGGCATGAGTTTATCTTTTTTGGTTGCTGAGTAGTATTCCAGGGATTATGCTCAGTGAAATAAGTCAGAAGGAAAAGGAAAAATATCAGATGGTTTCACTTATAGGAGGAATGTAGGGAAACCAAAAAGGGGCCAGGAAAAAGAAATAATTATAATAAATTTATTTTTTTAATTTATTTAATACTGTATTCATTTTTTCAATTAATTTATTTATTTATACAAGCACTGGGTACAGTCAGAAGCGCAGGAGGGTGAGAAAATTCACCAGAGCCAGAATGGGGAGCAGAACAGGCAGACTGACGAAGAAGTACACTGCTGAGGGGAGCAGCTGGCGGCAGGAGAGGTCTGCGTGCCAGGGATTGAACCCGCGCTGCAGATTGAACCCAGCACTCAACCATTGTGCCACCAGGGGAAGCCCAATTATAATAAATTTAAAAAACAAAATTAAGGGCCTCCCCTGGTGGGGCAGTGGTTAAGCACTGGGTTGCGAGGCTGCCCGTAGCCTCTGCAGCGCCGGTTCAATCCCCGGCCACCAGCGAGGGTCCCACAAAAAAATAAATAAATAAAAAAATAAATAAATAAATAAATAAATAAAATAATTTAACAGGCAACTATTAATCAGAGACACACTGCAGGGGGCGGGGAAGGGAGAAGGATCAATATAGGAGAGGGATTATGTCCTTACACAAGGGACTATGGTGATGGTGCACGGGTGAATTGGTGGTGGGAATTTCACAGAGACTACACCTGAAAGGAGAAGGCATGCATTGTACAAAAAGGAAAAATGATGTAAAAAATATATACATAAATTAAAAAAATTTTAAAAGAAAACAAAATTTTTCAAACTAACAGACATGAATTTTTTTTTATCTTCTTGGAACTTGAAATGCAAGCAAAGTACCAATGAGATTCAGCTTTCACTTTTCAAATTGGCAGGTTTTTTTTAAGATTTATTTATTTATGCATACAAGAGTTGGGATATAGGCCAGAGGTGTGGGGGGTGAGAAGATTCACCAGAGATAGAGTGGGGAACAGAACAGGTATATTGACTGAAATACACTGCTGAGGGGAGCAGCAGGCGAGTCAGGAGAGGTCTGCTGCCCTATGTGGGTTGCTCCCTGACCGGCCGTGGATCGAACTCGTGCTACAGAGGCTGCAGACAGCTTCATAGGTTGTGTCTTAACCCCTTGCACCACCAGGAAGGCCCTTGCCAAAGATTTTTTTAAGTGATAAAATTGAAAGTTGAAGATAATTAAGGGAATCAAATATTAATCCCTTGGTTGAAGTGAAAACCTTATAAATTTTCAGGAGGGAAATTTTGGCAGTGCTTAGCAAATGATTTCATTGTACACGTATTTTGCCCTAACAATTCTGATTGTAAAGATTTATACCCACAAAATAATTAGGTAAGTTTGTAAGATTTAATGGAAAGTACTTATCGAAGTTATTTATAAACTTTGTTAAGTTAAAACAACCTAAATGTCCACTGGAAGGAACTTGTTAAATAAGTTGTATGTCCACATAGTAAAATCTTACAAGGTCATTAAAATGATGTTTCAAAAGTATATTTTCTGACATAAAAAGATGTTCATAACATTTTAGCAGAAAAAGGATGCAAAAAATGTGTACAAAAATTAGTTGTATTTCTAGACACCAGTGCTGAACAATCCCAGGATTAATTTAAGATCAATTCCACTTACAGTAGAATCAAAAAGAATTAAATTCTTAAGACTAAGTGTAACAAAAGAAGTGTAAGATTTATACAAAGAAAACTACAAAACATCTTTGAAAGAAATTAAAGAATATCTAAATGAATCGAAGGAGAGCCCATAATCATGGACTTGGAGAC